ACTAGTACCATTTGAAAAAATAGATTTTAAAGCAAGCAGAATGTCACTAGAATAAAAAGAGACCTTTTATAATGATAAAAGTGTCAATCCATCAAGATGATATAATTATAAACATATATGTCCCAAATAACAGAGTTACAAAATATGTGAAGCAATGCCTAACATGATCAAAAAGATAAATTCAACGATAATTGTTGGAAATTTCAAAAGTTCCACTTTTAAAAATAGATACAATAACTAGACAGAAGATCAAAAAAGAATGAGATGACTGGAAAAATGCTATGTAGAAGACCTCGATACCAAAATCTCCAAAATATTGCAGAAAGAAACATTTTAAAAATTATTTAAATGGAGGGGAATACCAGGTTTACAGGTTGGAAGACTCAATTTTTAAAAGATCTTTCGTCTACCAAATTAAGCTCTATGTTTATCACAGTCCTATAAAAAAAATCTAACAATTATTTGTAGAACTTGAGAAAGTGATTCTAAAATTTATATGGAAATACAAAGGATCTGGAATAACTAAAACACTCTTGGAAAAGAAGAACAAAATTGGAGAACTTCACTACCTGATTTCAAGATGTGCCTTGAAACTACATTAATTATGATAGTGTGGTAATTAAAAAAAAAAGACAAACCAATCATTACAAAATAAAAAGTCCAGTAATAGATCCACACGTGTATGGCCAATTTGTTTTTGACAAAGGCACCAATAAAAATCAATGAAGAAAGTCTTTTTAACAAATAATGGTGGAACAACTGGGCAAACAAATAGGAGGAAAAATGAACTTTAATCCCTACTTCATGTCACAACGACTCATTTTTAAAGTTCTAGAAGAAAACAAAGAATAATATCTTCATGACCATAGGTTTGGCACTGACTACTTAGACAGGAATCAAAAAGAAATTACAGTAAAAATAATGAATTGTTCTTAAAGTAAATTAAATTTCTGCTCATCAAAAGACACTATTAAGAGGCCAGTCGTGGGCCGGGCACAGTGGCTTACGAGGCGGGCGGACCATGAGATTACAGATCTTGAGGAGATCCAGACCACCTGGCTAACACAGTGAAACCCCGTCTATACTAAAAATACAAAAAATTAGCCGGGCGTGGTGGCGGGCGCCTGTAGTCCCAGCTACTCTACTCCAAAGGCTGAGGCAGGAGAATGGCGTGAACCCAGGAGGCGGAGCTTGCAGTGAGCCGAGATTCCACCACTGCACTCCAGTCTGGGCAACAGAGCGAGACTCCACCTCAAAAAAAAAAAAAAAAAAAAAAAAGGGCCAGGCATGGTGGTTTATGCCTGTAATCCTAGCACCTTGGGAGACCAAGGCGGGTGGATCACTGGAGGTCAGGAGTTGGAGACCAGCCTGGCCAACATGGTGAAACCATGTCTCCACTAAAAATACCAAAATTAGCCAGGCACGGTGGCCCGCACCTGTAATCCCAGCTATTTGGGAGGCTGAAGCAGGAGAATCACTTTTACCCGGGAGGTGAAGGTTGCAGTGAGCCAAGATTGCCCTGCTGCACTCCAGCCTGGGCAACAGAGCAAGACTCTGTCTCAAAAAAAAGAAAAACACCATTAAGCAAATTAAAAGATAAATCACATACTGAAAGAAAATATTCATAATGCCTATTTTGACTAATAATTCTTACCTAAAATATATGAAGAATTCTTACTACTATATAACACAAATATAAGCAGTCCAACATAAAGAATAAGCCAAAGAGTTGAATAGGATCATGAAGATATATGATTAGCCAATAAGCACATGAAAATGTTCCAACTATCAATAGTCATCAGAGAAATTTAAAATCATAATAACATACTACTATGACCAGAAGGACTAAGATTTTAAGAGACTATATTACCTAGTGTTGGTGGAGATATTGAGCAATTGGAACTCCCGTAAGTTGCTAGGGAGAATGCAAAATGAACAGCCCCTGTCGTAGCATAGTGGAAAGATTATGGAAGTCTTTAAGGGAAAAACAAAAACAAATCAAAGATTTTCACATATAGGTATTTATTGTAGCATTATTTAGTATAGTAAAGATGGGAAAATCCAAATGTTTCACAATGGAGGAATGTTAAATTAAAAGTATGGTATATCTTTATAATGATTTGATAAAATGTTTTAAATGGTGGAATTGTTTATGAAATAAATGTTATTTAGAGAAATCAGAATATGAAACTGTCTTTATTGGATTAAAAATCATCATGGAAGGGGCCAGGCATGATGGCTCACACCTGTAATCCCAACACTTTGGGAGGCCAAGGCAGGCAGATCACTTGAGGTCAGGAGTTCGAGACCAGCCGGGCCAATATGGTGAAACCTTGTCTCTACTAAAAATATAAAAATTAGCTGGGTTTGGTGGCACACACCTGTAATCCCAGCTACTTGAGAGGCTGAGGCAGGAGAATTGGTTGAGACCCAGGAGGTGGAGGTTGCAGTGAGCTGAGATGGCACCAGTGCATTCCAGCCTGGGCTACAGAGTGAGACTCTGTTTCAAAAAAAAAAGGAAGGAAGAAAAAAGCCAAAGTTATGATGAAATTGTGTATTTTTTAATCCCCTCCATCACTTTTCTGTATCTTCCAAGTTTTCTAGAGGGACAAAGCATTACTTCTATAGTACAAAAAATGTTTATTTTTAAATAATGATTGCTTTGAATAACTATATAGTATTTAATGATGATAACTATAAAATTATTTGCTTTAGGGTTTTGACACATTGTAAATTGGCACATGGAAGTAGTTTTACTATTATTGTTAGATCCATATTCAGTTCAGTTCCTACCTTCATCAGGAAAGTAGGTGAATTCAGAAGGAGCTAGGGAAAATGACAGAATCAATAGACAGTACAGAAATAGAAATGATGGTGTTTTCCAGACAAATGAGCTTAGCTCTTTAACCACCAAATTTTGTATTTTAAAATTTTGATGAAACTCTTTCTAACATATGCATCATGCTTTCTTACTTACTAACTATATTATAGTGACCAAATCCCATCCTACCTCCTAGCTGTTTAACTTTGGAGAATTGATGTAATAACCTTTCTTCCTTGTTTTCTTATCTGTATGATTGGGTTAATATTAAAACCCCTCTCATTGTATTGGTAGGTGTGAAAAGGATAATTTATATAAAGTATTTAGCAGAGGATTGGGTACAAAATAATAGATGTCACTTTCTGTTATTACTATTACTACAAAGAACGTGTGGCACAGTAGCCATTCAATAGATTTGATTCACTGACTTAACTTACAATAATGTCTTTAAAGCCTTTCAGAGATCTGTAAAACACCTACCTCTGTTAAATGGTCCTAGATCACTCACTCACTAGTCATTATACTTCCTTTCTCTGCCCATTCTTTCACTGTTTCACGTTACTTTTCTTAATGTTTCTAGTTCTAGCAGCCTCCTCCTCTTTATAACTTGCAGTTTCTAATTTGCTGTCAGATAGCAAAGCCTGTTAAAGTCAGTACACTTTCAAGGAGTGCCTGGAAAACTCTTATAGCAACTCTGTGGATTAACATTTATTGCTTATTTAGTCAAACTTTTTCCTATCTAATTTGTATATCTAGGGTTAAGACTGTGTTCAACATAGTTTAGTTTGATGAATATCTATTTCCAGATTAATGGTAACATTTATATCAGCAAATATTATGTGTACTATGATTATAAACAGAAATTTAAAATTGGATGAGCATTAAATTGAAAGTCTTGAAAATAATGTTCAATGAAGAAAGAAATAGAGCAAACAATAAGCTTTGGAGTTGGTATTCAGTGCTCTATCAGCAATTGAAATATGAGTGCAGAATAAGATAGTATATAAAAATCTGAGTCCTGTGTCCTTTTCAAGCTCTGTTATTGACTTCTCTGACTTTGAATAAATAGCTTAAACTCTTTGAAGTTACAGTTTCTCACTTATAAAACACAAGAGTTGGGCTACGTTGTCACAAGGCACCTTTCAGTTTCAAAATTCTGGGTTTTTTTGGACCTACCGCAAGCTTATTGTTATAAATTGTATAAAGAAGAGGGTGATGGGAAAGAATAGGAACAAAGATTATTTCGGTCATTGAAAATAGCTCTCAAATGTTTCTGAGCATGGAGACAGATTAAAATAGAAACTATGAATATTTATTTCACAAAAGAAAGTCTGTGAGACTTTATAACAAAGATAGAAAAACCATAGTGAAGAACATTTTACAAATACTATATAAATACAGATTGGCAAGTACAGAGAATTATAAAATGTTTATTAATCTGTGTGTCTATTGTTGCATTTGTCAGAAAAGTGGCAGAATAAAAATTAAGAAATATGAGAAAGAGAAAAATATAGTGCTTATTATAAGGAATTTGATACTATTGAACAAAACACAGTATGTAATATACAATACTACATTTTTATAAATAAATACAAAATTTAGAATTCATAGCAGTTTTTAAAGATCTTTTAAAAGCCAATAATCATATTGCCTGAGAGGATATTTGATTAGGTATTGTTAAAACCCCTTCTAATTCTTATTATTTATTATCTATTTTCAGATAAAATTGGGTCATTTATTAAAGTAGCTATTTCTTATAAAAATAGTAAAAAAAGGATTTTATATGTTTGTGCCATCCATGTTTAAATAATCTTGTGTGTCAATCAGTTACTGCTCCTTATTTTTTCCTGTATCATTTGTTTAAACAAATTTTCAAAATAGGCCAGGCATGTTGGCTCACACCTGTAATCCCAACACTTTGGGTAGGTGAGGTGGGAGTATTGCTTGAGCCCAGGAGTTCAAGATGAGCCTGGGCGACATACTGAGACCCTATCTCTATAAAGAGAAAAAAAATTAATAAAAATATTTTAAAATTCAGAATAATTGACATAACTTGGTCATGGTAAAGTAGTTTTCACATGGAAAAAAAAAAGCCTTTTAAACTTGTAGGAATTAAGAAATTAGAATAACCTACAAAAGACTAGGAAAATTTATCTCATTTTTTTCATTGTATTTTCAGGTTTAACTGAACTGAATGACAGTCCAGTTCCCCTAGAACTTGAGCGCTGCAAGTCTCCTACCTCAGGTAAACGTGAGTGGTATTTTTCAAGATTCTGGTAGTTCACTGGAGTAATCTATTGCTTTATTTTCATGATCTTTATAATGTGAAATTTATAATTTTAGTAATTAGGTGTAATTCCATTCATTAAATTTACTGTAAGCAAATTTGATTCCAAATATAAAATATGAATAAATGTCTTTTAAAATACTTTTATCTCAAAATAAAATTAAGATCAGAAGTATAAGTGCAACACTTTAAAAGACATTTTAAAGGAAAGTTATTTTGCAGATACATTAATAATGCTTACTAAGTATCAAATAAAAATTGGTAATATACAGAAACTTGTCATCCTCTGGCCAGAGCTGAATTAGTGGGAAAAATACAGTATACATGCAGGAGCAAATGATACCATTCCTCTGGACCACAGTTTGGAAACATGTATATTCATTAATTGACAAAGAAAAATGATAATAGAATATGATATGAAGCAAAACATCAAGACAAAGTGTGTACCCATTAAAATATATTTAAAATGTAAGAATAAGATTCCCAGGGATACATCTTTAAGGTACTGTATGTCAAAAAAAAAAAAACAGTTATTTTTGGGTGGTGGGATTATGATTGGTTTGCCTGTTTTTTTAAATTTTTATGTATTTGATAATTCTGATTTTTCTATAATGTATATATAGTTTTGTGTAAGTTTCTAAACACCAAAATAATTAGGTTTGTCTTTACTGAATGACAGATCTGTTCTTACAGACAAGAAATTATAGTTCATTTTTATTTTTATTATTTTTTATTATTTTTATACTTTAAGTTCTAGGGTACATGTGCACAATGTGCAGGTTTGTTACATATGTATACATGTGCCATGTTGGTGTACTGCACCCATTAACTCATCATTTACGTTAGGTATATCTCCTAATGCTATCCCTCGCCCATCCCCCAACCCCAGGACAGGCCCCGGTGTGTGATGTTCCCCTTCCTGTGTCCAAGTGTTCTCATTGTTCAATTCCCACCTATGAGTGAGAACATGCGGTGTTTGGTTTTCTGTTCTTGCAATGGTTTGCTGAGAATGATGGTTTCCAGCCTCATCCATGTCTCTACAAAGGACTTGAACTCATCCTTTTTTATGGCAGCATGGTATTCCATGGTGTATATGTGCCACATTTTCTTAATCCAGTCAATCACTGATGGACAGTTGGGTTGGTTCCAAGTCTTTGCTAGTGAATAGTACCACAATAAACCTACGTGTGCATGTGTCTTTATAGTAGGATGATTTATAATCCTTTGGGTCTATACTCAGTAATAGGAAGACTGGGTCAAATGGTATTTCTAGTTCTAGATCCTTGAGGAATCACCACACTGTCTTCCACAGTGGTTGAACCAGTTTACACTCCCACCAACAGTGTAAAGTGTTCCTATCTCTCCATATCCTCTCCAGCACCTGTTGTTTCCTGACTTTTAAATGATCGCCATTCTAACTGGTGTGAGATGGTATATCACTGTGGTTTTGATTTGCATTTCTCTGATGGCCAATGATGATGAGCATTTTTTCATGTGTCTGTTAGCTGCATAGAAGTCTTCTTTTGAGAAGTATCTGTTCATATCCGTCACCCACTTTTTGATGGGGTTGTTTTTTTTCTTCTTCTAAATTTGTTTGAGTTATTTGTAGATTCTGGATATTAGCCCTTTGTCTGATGAGTAGATTGCAAAAATTTTCTCCCATTCTGTAGGTTGCCTGTTCACTCTGATGGTAGTTT